ACTCTGTCTCTGGCTCTGCCTCTGTCTCTGACACCTGTCTCTCTCTCTCTCTCTGACTCTGTCTCTGACTCTGACTCTGTCTCTGACTCTGTCTCTGACTCTGTCTCTGTCTCTGTCTCTCTGTCTCTGACTCTCTCTGACTCTGTCTCTGACTCTGTCTCTCTGTCTCTGACTCTGTCTCTCTGTCTCTGACTCTGTCTCTGTCTCTGTCTCTCTCTCTGACTCTGTCTCTGACTCTGACTCTGTCTCTGACTCTGTCTCTGTCTCTGACTCTGACTCTGTGTCTGACTCTGTCTCTGTCTCTGACTCTCTCTCTGTCTCTGACTCTGTCTCTGTCCCTGACTCTGTTGACTCGGACTCTGACTCTGTCTCTGTCCCTGACTCTGTCCCTGTCCCTGTCTCTATCTCTGACTCTGTCTCTGTCTCTGACTGTCTCTGTCTCTGACTCTATCTCTGTCCCTGACTCTGTTGACTCGGACTCTGTCCCTGTCTCTGACTCTGTCTCTGACTCTGTCCCTGTCTCTGACTCTGTCTCTGACTCTGACTCTGGACTGTGATGGAGATGAGAGGACAGCAGCAGTCTGATGTTTGTGTTCTGTTGTATTCAGACTGCAGCCCAATGTTGACACGAGGCAGAAGCAGCTGGCGGCCTGGTGTTCTCTCGTTCTGTCCTTCTGTAGACAGAGCAAGCTCTTCACGCTGGACGTGCTGGAGGCGCAGGAGAGCGCTGTGTTCAACAACAACAGAATACACAGTATCCTTAGTTTCATGCTCTCTGTCTGAGGACAGGACACGCTGTGGCTGAATCAATAATTTTTGTCATGCATGTATTTCTCATAACTTGTGCTGCTCAGGAAAACTTTCTGTTGAAGCCATACAAGTAGTTTTTGAGGAACTGAGGAAAAAAGGTGGGCTGACGCATGCATTGACAAGCAGAGACCGTTTCCCAGTGTGAAGATGGATGTTAGAATTATTTTGATCTTTGCTTTGGCACAGGAAACCTGGAATGGTTGGATAAGAATAAATCCCGATGTCTTATAATGTGGAGGAGGCCAGAGGAGTGGGGCAAACTCATTCATCAGTGGGTGAGAATATACAAAAGTCTCTTATGCTTACTAAAACTGC